AGCATGGATCGTTTAGAACAAACGATCAAGACACATTCTACCATAGAGGTATTCGCAGACGAAGTCCGAAAACAATTGAGCAGTGCGAAGCATGTGCAAAGAACAAGCGAGCACGACGTGCTTATGGAGAATCTGCTCCACGTGATGCTACGGCGATGCCCTGGCAAGAAGTCCATTGTGACACAATCGGTCCGTGGAGATTGAGTTACGACAACGGAATTGACTTTCAATGCTATGACTATGGTGGATCCTTGCACAAACTTGTTAGAGATTGTGCCTATTATGCGACGAACGTCGGAGAAGGTGCTCGAGTGGTCGAGGATACATGGTTTGCTCGGTATCCCGACCTAAGAAAGTGGTCACGGACAATGGTCCTGAGTTCAAACTGGAGTTCATTGAGATGGTTAAAAGAATGGTGCTGTGCATCGCTACTCGACCCCTCGTAATCCACAAGGTAACTCGATGATTGAACGAACGCATCAGGCAATTGGTCAAGTATTGCGTACTATTGTGGTTTCGCGCGATCCCAAGAGTGTTGCTGATGGGATCAAGGTTATTCCGAAACCTTGGCGACAGCGATGCATGCTCATCGTTGTTCCGTGCAGAGTACGAACGCATATCTCACTCCTGGTGCTCTTGCCTTCAAACGAGATATGTTTCTTGACATTCCTATTTATGCAGACATCTTGGCCGTGCAACGACACCGTCAATCCTTGGTTGACAAACGTTTGCTACGGGCCAATGCTAAACGCATTTCCTATGACTACGGGTCGATGACTGGTCTAAAGCGTGCGTATCTCGGTCTCAGTGATAAGTTGAAGCCTACGGCTTCTGGTCCTATCGTGTTTCCCGCGTTCATACCAAGGCAACGTAACGATTCAACTCAGTGCTCATCAGTTTGAGCGCCTGAACATTCGGCGCGTGTTTCCAAAGCATCCAGTACTTCCGGTTGCCACCGGTACGGTTTATTGAGGTTCCCCTGATTCATTTTCTAAATGTTACTGATGCTCGGCGCCTATTTTTGCCTCACAGTGGAGGAGAGTGACATCGCACGTCTATGACGTGGCGCTTTAACGCTAGTTTTAAGTCTAATCTCACAATATTCCGATCGTAGTTCAGCATCAGACAATTCAAGGTAGAACTTTTGGGGATTGGTGCCAATGTCTTGATCATCATCGGTGGTGAGATGCCCTGCAAATGCTTTCTTGAGCTTGGTGAACGCACAGCTTTTACTTTCAGCTTCTTAGGAGCTTCTGGCATCTTGGTTTGTTCTTTTGAGGCCTTCCTTGCATTTTGATTTTCGTCTTGAGTTGATTTGGGAGATTCTGACCACCAACCGGCATTTGGTTTGATTTGTTGTCAACACGCGCCACTTCGAGATTCTGACCACGGCGAAACTGCTTCACCCTCTGTTGCGCTTCAAGAACTGGTTACGTTTCTCGGCAAGACCACACCACGCCTTCTTCTGCTGATGGGTGAACTTGGAGATGAATTTGAATAGATCAGAATTGGGATCCAAGGACTCTTGCTCCTTGCCAAAGTACGACGCATCCAAACCATCGAAGAAATCTTGGTGATTGTTGTTTATGTCGGGATCATGTTCTGTGCTGAGATTGGCCTTGAATTTCCCCTTCAGCTTTTTGAGCCGTGTTTTTATGGCGCTCTGTTCCTGTCGAGCTTCTCGTTCTTCAAGGGTTGGCCGATGAGGACATTGGCAAGGAGCAAGACTCGTTGGATCCCAATTCTCATCTATTCAAATTCATATCTAAGCTCACCCATACGAAGAAGAAGAAGAAGTGGAGTCAGAGTATTGCATTACAATCCATTAATGAGCAAGCTGAGAAAGCTGAGAAAGCCTGCTCGACCTGGGAAGAGTGTGCAGCACTCGTGCACTCTCGAGAGATCCAAGGATAGCTATTGTGTTTTGTCCATTTTCCTTCTTGTGGTTGCATGCTAAAAGAACAAAGAGTGGAAGACATCACCTTTATTTCGTGGCTCGTCCCCTCCAGGGGTCTTTGCTAGTCTTTCTCCAAAGACAAGAGGTTTCGTAAACCCTCGTAAAGCTGCGTCTTGCTGGATCAGAGCAACCAGGCTCATCAGATGATGCTTGGGGGGCCGTCATGGTTTGGGAGGTATTCGCGAAATGGGCCTCCGATCGTGAGCTTGTTGGGCCCGTGGTAGCATCGTTGCATTCGCCAAACGGAAAGCTGAGACGCCATGGTCGATCCGTGCAAGTCTTCGCGCCCTTGGAATGGCCAACCCTCCAACCCGAACCGGATAGTTGCTGCGTCAGCGTGGATTGTCGCTGCTGCCGGTTTCGCAAGTAGAGGCGCCATAGTCCCTCCTTGGAGAAGGAAGAAGTTCCATGGTTGCTCCATGGAAGCAGTCATCAATCGCACGAATCGAATCTAACTCGTGTGTTGCAGTTTTTCTTGTATTGCAGTGTTGCCTCAATCATGGTCTCTGTTGTGTCTGCAACGTAAGATTTGCAAATGGCAAGATGTGTTGTTGTATGTTCCCGGTGGCCGCTACACAGGCCATTTGATGGCATTTGTTTGGCCAGACGCAGTGTTTGACGTATCATCATATGTCGCTGTTGTTTGCTTGGCATTGGTTTGCAGTCAAGTTGACGGTGGCGGCCCAAAAATGGACGAACACTTCCACGCACCCAGAAGAACAGAGCTAGAAGATTCGCATTGTTGTTTCGTGGCAATCCCGCCGTGGCGTCCAGGGCTTTGCCAGTCTCCATTCTCCACGAAGCTCACAAAATTGGGACTTGCTGTCACTCTGAGTGCCATGGTCAGGTTGGAAAAGACACCGTTGAGTGCTATAGCTAGAGTGGGTGGATTGATTGGAAGATTCTAGGAGTGAGGGTCTTCACACTGGCCTTCTTGCCTCGGCGACACCCCTTCAAATGGGGCGAGTGTGTTGGCCTTGTTGTGTTTCGCATTTTTCGACTTGGGCGAAGCACTACCACATCGCAGAAAGAGTTTCTGCAGCAAACCCCACGCAACCGTATCCAATGTAGAAGTAGACAGATCTCTCGTTTCAGACTACAATCTCTCGTTTCATGCCATTGCGTTACGGTAGGTGCGAGAGGGTGCAGTGTAACGGCACCAGTAGAAAACCCGCAAAGATTCATTCCACTGGAGGTAAATGGGTACGTACTGCAGTCTAGGCTGTTGCATGGAGTCGACAGCCTTTCTATCTGCTGCGAACCACCGTCTCAATACCACGACCGACAATACGGACATGGAGGCCTCTTGTCACGGTGACGACCCACTTGGGCTTGGTTCCTTGGCGCGTCGGTACATGGCAAGATGTGTTGTTGTATGTTCCCGATGGAGCATTGGCCGCTGCACATGCCATTTGACGCGCCTGCCTTTGACGTATCATCATATGTCGCTGTTGTTTGCTTGGCATTGGTTTGCAGTCAAGTTGACGGTGGCGGCCCAAAAATGGACGAACACTTAAACGCACCCAGAAGAACAGAGCTAGAAGATTCGCATTGTTGTTTCGTGGCAATCCCGCCGTGGTGTCCAGGGCTTTGCCAGTCTTCATTCTCCAAGAAGCTCGCAAAATTGGGACTTGCTGTCGCTCTGAGTGCCATGGTCAGGTTGGAAAAGACACCGTTGAGTCGGTGGATTGATTGGACGACATAATCTCACGGGCCTCCTCCCAAGTTTCTAGGAGTGAGGGGCTTCCCAGTAGAGGCGAGGAAGGAGGCATCCAGAAGGCTTATGGCTTTGCGAAAGGGGCTCCATCAACCAAAGAAGTCCGTCGATTGGAAAAAGTGTTTTGTTGTTGTTGATAGCATTGATAAACGCCGCTACTGGTGGTTGATCCAAAGCTGCTTTGGACGCCCATTTGTCCATTTGTCGTACTGTAGGCCGCTTCCAATACCTGTGGCTTCTTGGCAAGCAACGCGCTACTAGCTAGAGTAATCGAATGCCACTCCGTCAGGTCTCCACTTGTGTTTTGGCTGCGATGAATGTGGGCTTGGTCGCCGCCATCGTGGTCGTACTGTATTGAAAGCTCATCTCTAGCTAGTCTGTGGCTGGTGCTTGGGTGCTTGGGTCGGTCGCCGTGGAGAGCTCATCTTGCTGCGGTGTGGGGGATGCGACCCCAGAAAGATACTGTATGAACCAGGAGAGCTAGATGCGGTCTCGCCGTTTTGCGGCCTTTGGAGTATAGTACAGTCGTATCAGTACTGGTACTGGTGGATCAAGGCGCAATTGACGAAGTCGTTGACCAAGCGCCCAAGCCACCGCCAAGAAGGCAAGTGCAGCCCTATTTTTTGGTCCCAAGATTACTGGTGCTGAACAGATTGTTGCGGGTCTGCAGACACAGATCGCCGCTGTGCAAACTGACATTGAAGCTAACGACGATGCTGCAGACCCGGCCCGGGCGGATTTTCTCAGTCAATGGAAGACCCGCTTGGAGATCATGCGGCTTGGACGAATGGGTGACCTTGCTGCCATCGATGGAGATCACCAAGCAATAATCCGGGAATGTAACACAACAATTGCCCGTGGTCAACTCACCATCTTGCGGAATGAAAAGGCAAACTGTGGATGCCACAGTGCGACGCATCAACTTGACGTGGAAACACTTCATGCACTTGACTCTGCGTTTTGCAGGGCTAGAACTTTTTTCGATAAAGTGATGGCTGCTTGGTTCGAGAACAAGAAGACGATTTCGGAGCTCGAAGAGGGTTTCAAAGAAATTTGCAAAGGACCGCGAACTCAGCTCAACTACTAGTATTCTTGAGAATCTATGAAGAAGCAGACCAATGAAAACAGGGGAACCGGCCCCATTTGTTACATTTTGCCCACGTAGCTTAACGCATTCTATTAGCTTATCTCTACTCAAATCGATACATTTGACTACACGAGTATCGTAGTCGAACCGTATCGATGCAGCCACTGCAGCATTCTAGATGGCTTCGATGACGACAGCCCTGAAGATGCTGCATCTCTGTTCGTGAGTGTGCCGTGACACCTAATGGTACTGGTACCGGTACCACCGCCAAGTCGTGACAGCTCAATTGCGACCTACTTGAATATTGAAAGCATCCGCTCGATGTACATCTATATCATTTCTTTATGATGAACGGCGGTTATTATGTATGCATGTTGCCAGTCTGGTGCCACGCTGCCAAGCAATCTAGTTAGCTTCCCCGTTAGAATGAACGAACAAGGCATCAAACACGTCGGCAAAGACTCCTTCCTCCTCGTTGCCGGCATGTTTCTTGTTCCGAATCAATTCCATGAGACCATCAATGCAGAGAGGGATTCGTTCTGGGTGACTCTCGTGCACTGTGGCGCATGCTTTTTGCGCGTCTTCCGTCGTAACGGTAGACGCATCTTTGGACAAGAACTCTGGCGATTGGTCGTCCTTGGGATCGACTTGTTGGGTCAGACGACGACGAAACGATTGAAGCCGCGATGCCAATGACGTTTCTTGCTCCCTCTTTTGTTGTGCTCTGGCCTTTTTCTTGGTCGCCGTGGAGACCACTTGAAACTTGCACGAGTTGTGTGGCCCAACGGAAGAAGACTGAAACAAGGAGTTTCGTGCTTGATCTACCATCCACTCTTTTCCGTAGTCATTTGCATCTTCCACCATGGTTTGATAGTCTTTGCCAATCCACTGTCCATCCGGGAAACTGCCGAGCAAACCAAAGCTACCTTCCATCATGTCGGAATCGTCCCTGGTTTGAACATCGACACGAACGTACTGATGAAAGCTTCGAATCGACACCATATTGCCTTGACCCAAGTCAATCTTAAAGTCTCGTTGACGGGCATTGAGTTGCTGAAACTCGATCGGAAAGCTGGACACTTGTAGGTTGCTTTCCTGGTAGACACCGTTGATCCAATAGGGATTATTGATATTATTGTTGTTGCCTTTTGCTTTCCCCTGCACTTCGAGCGTTTCCTCGCCAATCTGGATCACGGCCGCGTCCATGTAGGACCACATGGGAGTGGATTGCAATCGCACTTGAATGTGCAGTCCGACACCACCCATAAAGTGGGGACTATCCACGAGAATGACATTGCACGTGGCACCACTTCCCGCCGTGTTGTGAAAGTCCAACGTGTCACCCGCCCAAGTCTGTACATGCCAGTGGCCAAAGCTGCTGGCCGTCAAAATCTTGGAGGGAGCCTTCCTGCTAGAACTAGAGTCCGTGTCCGCAGCAGTAATCTGACACAAGACTTGTACCTCTAGAAACGATGGCATTTCGGCGTCTCCCATGAGGACCGGTTCGACATGGTCGCCCCAGAGGTATTCCACCACGACACCGCGACTGGAAGAGAGACGATCGAGATAATCGGAATCGCCCAATGCCCAGTAGTGCGTGAATCGTTGCATCCCATCAAAAAGAGGCGCCACAGTGTTCCACTGTAGTCGTGTGGACACGTCCTGATCCAAGTCGACGACATGAGCATTCAATCCGAGTTCCGTATGACAGGCATTCGCAAGACGTTCCTTATCGTTGATAGTGTACGTGTTTTGGGTAATGGCAAACCGTTCTTGCGCATGGGCGGAGGATGCGGCCAACAACGACAGCGGCACCAACGCAAGAGTCTTGGGGGAGGAGATCTTCATGGTTCGGGGTTTCGTTCGGGCCACGGACCGATACTAGAGTCGAGTCAGCTCGGGCAATACGAGGATGCGGGGAAAGTCGAGAGTCGTGAAACACGGGAGGATCAGAGGAAGAATGTTCAGGTAGCTAGCTAGCTTGTGCAATTTATGGGAGGGAATGTAACTGACTGGCGAAAGCAGCAAGGAATTCCTGTCGATACTGCTGTCGATCTGTTGAAAGCACCTGGTATGAAACCAACTCGTTTTCGTGCAGCCTCCATGAATGAGTGCGGTGATTGATTGAGCTATCCAGAACAGAAAGCCTAGAGGAGCTAGCTAGCTATACGTCTACCTTGTCAAAGATACGAAATGACCCTTGGTATCCTGGCAATCAGCCAAAGCAGAGATGTTCTCTTGGGATTGCTTGTAGGGGTTGACACGATGTGGGATAGCCACAGCTCGTAGGACGATGACCGTGGAATGAAAGATATATCTTTTTGGATTTGCGACTCGACTCGACTCGACCACAGTCTTGCTACCGGTATCATATGTTTGGATCAGTCAAAGCTGAGCCTTACAAGCTATCATACTCCTGTGCTTGCTTGCTTGCAGCTGGGACTCCCAGGGCTAAATAATTGGCACGAAGCAGCCATTGTGGGATAGCCACAGCACAGCATTGGTCGCGAAGAAACGAAAACAATGATGACCGTGGAAGAAAAGGTATCTTTTTGGATTTTATTTTGGGACTCGACTCAACTCGTGATCATAAGGGTGCGCACAGTTGATCTTTGTCTGTTTGAAAAGCAGAGGTCATGAGCTACCATCAAACACCCGGATGTAGTGACGTGGACCAATGCAATTGGCTCAATTCGCCTTCAGGGCAAGAGATCCTTAAGTATCCTTGTATTTGTATGGCCGAGAGAGTACCTTTGACATTTTTGTGTCAAAGCTGTTGTGCGCAGCCACTCATTCGACAATGCAATCAACTTCCGACCGTGGGAAGAAACAAAGCAAAATGATGCAGGAGAATCATTCATTATTATCGTTCGCAGCTGGCGCCGTAACAGAACAAACCAAGTTCTCACTTCTGGCTGGGGACCATTTGTTGGTTCTTCTGGAATCGAATCAATCTCTCTCTCTTTGTCTACCGTATAGCTAGCTAGCTATTAATAGCTCACCATGTCGTCGTTCTGTGTGACCGCATCGACCCGCAAGGCTCGACGCAAGGAAGAGCGCGAACGCAAGAAACAGAACAAGCGAGCTCACAAGCAGGCGCAACAGGAACAACAGAACAAGACCAAAAAGAGCAAGAAGACTACTGCCAGTGCCACTAGTAGTGCCGCTACTGGTAGTGCTGACAAACCGGACGACAAGAAAAAGCGCAAAGCAGTTCCTCTGGAACAACGTGCCGTTGGAAAAAAGGCCCGTCGCACTCCCACATATCATAGTCACCAAGAACCCTACGCCAATCTACCCCCCGAAGTCGCCGCGGCCATGCGTCGTGACGATGACGAAATTGCCGATTTGGAGAAAAAACTGGGACTGACCAGTGGCGGCGGAAGTAAAAGCCGCTTGAATCAAGAATATGCCAAGAAAGAATGTTTTGGGGAAGATTTTGGTTCCTTTCTGGACGGTCTAGATGCCATGGTCCATCGCGTCATGGCACCCAACAGCAACAGCAACAACCATGACAGTGATGATAGTAGTGACAGCAATAGTAGTAGTGATGATGATGACTCTGACATTGAGAAGGAGCCATTGTCAGACGATGGGAATACATCGGATAGCGACAATGTGGAAAAAGAAACCACAGAGTAAATGCCATCCCATGTTGGAAGTCTCTAGCTAGCTAGTATAGCAATCACTCTACTCTCCCAAGACTTAACATGTTAAATCTCTTCTCATCAAAGACTTATTCCAGAGGTTTAAGAGTTCCTCCTTTCCACTCCCATTCAAGCATCCACGAGACTTGCCATGGAGAAAAGTTGCTACTAAAGAGCAGATACCGAGATTATCTCTTTCTTTGGTACGGTACGACTGTACCGGTACCTGCAAGGCATCAGTCCTCCAAGCTCGACAGGGCAGCTTCTGAGGTACTACCGGTACTGTAGCACAAAGGAAGCTGACCTACCGTACCTGACCATGTGCAAGTACCCTTTTAAAAAATAACCTTACGGAAGCGTAGTACCACCACAGTCGGAACTGTCGTAACACATGCATGCTCCATTCCCACATCCTCGAATGAGGAGATTCCAATTGTTCCAGCAGTTGCAGTACACTCAATAATTGTACATGGTTGGCGCATAGTCAAGCCAAAGAGGCAAACAACTGACAAATCCCGTGTGATCGATGGATTCTTTCTCTCTCCACTCTCTCTGCACTAGCTAGCTAGTAGCTAGAACTCTTACCTGGTAGCTAGAGCTATGATACTAGCTATCAGTTCGGTTCAGTTCAGTTCAGTTTTCCTCATTATTTTGAAAGCTGCCTACTTTGTACTGGTACAGAAGCTCTTCCAAATTTCCGGCTCAACCATGGGAATGGCTCAATTGTTCCCGAATCCGTAGTAACATTTCCGTCAGCAATTCCTCCACGATGGCCAATGCCGCTTTCTAGAGTAACTCCCTGAAAATGACTTCTCCAGCAGGCTCGCGTATTGTAATCTGTCCCAATTCATCTCTCCAGCCGGCTCGCGTTTTGAATATCGGCCATATTTCCTTCTCCAGCCGGCCTCGCGTTTTGAATATCGGGGTCGTTTCCATCTCCAGCCGCCTCGCGTTTTGAATATCGGGGTCGTTTCCTTCTCCAGCCGCCTCGCGTTTTGAATATCGGGGTCGTTTCCTCTCCAGCCGCCTCGCGTTTTTAATATCGGGGTCGTTTCCTTCTCCAGCCGCCTCGCGTTTTTAATATCGGGGTCGTTTCCTCTCCAGCCGCCCGCGTTTTGAATATCGGGGTCATTTCCTCTCCAGCCGCCTCGCGTTTTTAATATCGGGGTCGTTTCCTTCTCCAGCCGGCTCGCGTTTTGAATATCGGGATCATTTCCTTCTCCAGCCGGCTCGCGTTGTACATATCGGGGTCATTTCCTTCTCTAGCCGGCTCGCGTTCATTCGCAAGTCCGTGACGTGGCATACCTCGCTGGTTCCTGTTTTCTTCAGAGCGAAGCGACAATGGCGTTCCGAGCGGCATTGCGCAGTACACGTACACTGGAACATTTTTTATTGATCGCTCGTGGGACTCTCAACCGACCAAAGCTTGGGGCAAGATCCCTGAACTCCGCCTGTTGGATCGGACAAACCTACAGAACAGGAAGGAGTCGAGTCTGGCCGTCGTGCGAAACCAAGACTGAACCCTACTTTGCCAGGAGCCGCCTGAAAGCGGGCTCGCTCGTTCATTTGGCAGTTCAAATAAATGCAAGAGGGTTCGGAGAGCTGTTCGGAGACGATATCTCACTTTTCCTGACGTAGCGTTTATTTTCCTTCTTCCAGCATTGACAACAAATCAACTCGAACCAAAACAAGATGTGTCCAAGCGGCTCTAAAGATGAGCAAGATGCTCGAAAGAAACTGAGCACCAAAAAGTCTGCTGTCAAAAAACGGATGGGGGAATTTGCAGCAACTCTCCGTGACGACGACAAAGCTCTCTTCGAGGCTTTGCCTCCTGTTGACGTTGGCAAGGATCTGTGGAAGTTGGATCGCAATTCGGAGCTGTACAAATTCATCTCCAAGTTCACTCCTGGACAGAAGAAGATGTCGGAGCGTCTGCGAAAGGGAGGTGAACAGCTACAGACACTGAAACAGTTGGTGGAGGAGTCACGACAAGTGGAAAGGGGTGGCGGTGAGAATCTCGATCCCAATCATGCAGCATTGGCACGACAGCCTTCACCACAACCGCCCATGATGCCGGGCATGGCAATCCAAGGCCATGGCCTCCAACAAGATGTGATGCAAGGACAGTACGCCATGGAGCAGCAGGGCCTCCACTGTGCTGGGCTCCCCCATCGGCCCCCGAATCACGTGGTGCAAGAAATGCCGTTTGGTCCTCCCCACGCAATGGAGCATCCCGGCTATCCAGCAATGGGTCAGTATCATCCTCCCTATACAATGGGGTATTGCGGCTATCGAGCAATGGCTCAGCAGGTTCAACCCACTCCTCCCCACGCAATGGGGTTTCTGACGGTTGCTGAACAACCACGATTCCAACCCACTCACCGGCCGTTGCCGCGAGTCACGGGAACGACGAACAACTTTACGGCGGCGTCCACAATGGTGGTGAGTACTAGTAGAGCCCTCTCCACACCGTCACAATGCCACAATAGTCTCCTAACGCTTCTTCGTCTTCTTGTTCGACAGCTGTAGCAGCGATGCCCCGTGGAACTGGATCCCAGGACACCGTTGCATCATTCAACACACCCATCCAAGGCCCACCGTCGCACAGTGGTGGTTCTGCACATAGTCGTCGCCGAATTTTTCTTCACCGCGTCACTGATCAGAATGGCAAGCCCAAGGCCACCGTCGCCAGCAAGATTGGCAATGACAATGATTCTGACGGCAAGGCAGTAGCAGAGGATGTCCGCCTCGGCGATCTCAATCCTGGGGATGTGATTGCCGAATTAAACGTACCGCGTGGTCAACCGAAGCCATGTCTGCAACAGCACATCACCGTCAAGCAGATTCATAGTGGCTACAAGCCTGAAGGGCAACCTCCTGCGGCTTCTGCTGCAGTGCACTCTGGCGCCATCGTGCCCAGATCCACTTGCTGTCCACTTCCCCCAAAGTCTTGTCGGCAACCAGTTTGATGGATTTGACACAACCACTCATTGACAGTTCGAGTGGATCCATTACTCCATTGGACCAAGATCTCATGGCCACCACTGTCATTGCCAAGAACAATGCCGATAGAGGTGATGATGCCTTTTCGGTTCTCCGAGTCCTTTGTTTGGAGTGGTCATGTGTTCAGTGAAGATGGGAAACCTGCAACCTGCCATATGAAAGCTGGGGGGTCTTTCAAGAGAGTCCCAGCGGAAGTTTGGCCAGGCAGCAGCAAAAGGCAGTGCTTCCTTCACCGGATTTGCCTCCTCTGACTTCCACTGCTCCTTTTTACAGACCATCACCCGGTTTGGGTGGTATTTATCGAGGAATCTCCGGTGGCCTTGGTGAAGATCCGTTCCACGCACCAAAGGTCCTTCCACAACAACAAGGCAGCCGCCGCCGATTTACCCAGCAACCAACAGTGCTGCAGCAGCAACCACCACCCACAGCAAAGGAGGACACAACCCAGGAGGGGACGGGAAGCATCCCCATCAAGGGGCGCACCTACCAAGAGGAGATGAAACCGCTCGAGAGAAGCTTCCTTATCAGGACACACAAGTTGCTCTGGAGAAACTGCGTGCCGATGAGCTCTGGAGAAACTGCGTGCCGATGAGCGCATGAAAGACAAGGATGCGGAACGTAAGGAGCGACGCGAAAAGGATGAGGCCGACCGAAAGCGCCAGGCAGAGGGGTACGAAAAGCAGGTAGCAGTTGCGGCCGAGATGGCGACGCTCAAAGCCCAGGCTGAATTCGACAGAGAGAGACGAATCGAGGCGCAAAAGAAGCAAGAAGAAGCTGAAGAAAAGATGGCTGCAGCTGAAGAAAATTGCCGAGAAGAGGAGGACAAGTTGCGGCTGACACAGGCAGAGAAAGACAAGGAAACTCGTTCGGATATCACCGAAGCGGTAGACGATCTACGTGAAGATATCCTTGAAGCTGTTAATTAAAGAACAGAGTGAGAGAATTACAGCATTCGGGGAACAAGTCACCGAGGCAGTGGCTGCTCATGTGCCCGATGTACCAGTACGTGTCCTCTTGTCTTGCTCTGGATGCATTGATCTCTTTTCAACTATTGTATCTAACCAGTTGTCTCTTGCACACCAAAACCACAGCAGCCAAATACGACTGAGTTCTCCATCACAGATAAGCAAAACGTTTGCCACAAGTATGGTACCTGAAGGGGGCTCGAATTCAAGAAAAGAAAGGCAAGAAGAATCGCTATGGAAAGGTGAAGGGTGTGACTGATACTGGCGACCGATTCCAGATTGTGTGGGAGAATGGTAAACGCGGTAGTGCGCTATTGCCATGCAACATTGGACCAGCATAAGTACTGGTGCCACCGTATTCCAAGAAGAAACACACTATTTGTCAACAAGATGCAATAAATCAAACAAAGTCGCTACGAATGGTACTGTGCTCATTCACCTAGTTCTTGACAGTCTTTTCGAAAGAAACAACCATAGCCGGGACAGACATACAAACCATAGCGGCAGCTCAACACATGGCGGCCATCTAGTAGTACTAAAATAACTTTGCTGGCCAGATATTTGCCTTTGTACCTCCAGCACTATTACTGTAGCTCGGTAGCCTAGCTAGCAACCTTTGTTGGCAGAGCAACCATTTGATAGATGCATGTGGACGTCCGAGGTACCGGTACCACCAATCGAGTACGGTACCGTTGGCACCACCTGTAGATTATCTAGATGCCCTGCTCTCATGCTCTTCCCAGCTTAGCCCCCCTAGCTACAGTAGGTCCTTGCAGTGCCGATATCGGTGTGTGGATGCCAGCCATCCCGTTGTGAAATCAGGGGGGCCATTACGGGGGCCAAATAACATTTGCCTCATTTTTCTTTTATTATTTTTCTGGTACCAGGTATCAGTTCTATCTTCGACAGTACCAGTACGTACGGTATTTGTTGTTGGTTTGCTGCAACAACGAACGAACGACCAAACGAAAATGGGCAGGAGAAACAGAAAGAAAAACTACCAGCCTCGGGTACCAGTACGAGCAGTGGCTACCGGTACCGGTACCACCAATGGACCGCAACGTCCGGCCGATCAGTGCCCACCATTGGACCCATTCATTCGATCCGCTTTCCAGAACAAGTACCTCACAGATGAAGTTTTGGATTCGATACTCGCAAGGGGGGTTACAATGGATTGTCGTTCCAGAGAAAAACTACGAGAGTACTTTCTTCGTCTTCTGGTGAACGAATTCACAGTGTCTCTACTCACTCGCATTCTGGAAGGTCTCATCCATGGCGATCCCCAAATCAATGAGCAGTGGAGCTTGGCACGTGGTGTTCGTTTCCCACTACTGCAGCTGGCTTGCCAGTGGAAGATGCTCTGGTACAACTACAATTGGCTCGCTCAAGATGAAATGGTAGACATGATCATCAAGGCAGGAGCAAACGTGAATCAGACAATCCACAACGGCACTAATGCCTTGTTTTTTGCGGTCAAATATGGAACAGTACAGACAGTCAACCTGTTGCTGGAGGCTGGTTGCAACTTTTGCCAGCTGGACGAATTGGGTAGGACTTGCTGGTACAATGCCACGGAACATCCGTCTCCACCCATTCTACGCCGACTATTGGACGTTCTGTCCCCAACCGAAATGATGAGTGTACACGATACACCCGGTGGCGCGGTACAGTACCGACAGACTCTTGTGGATCGGATGCTACATCTACTCGTTGCTAAGCCTTACCCAGTCTCTTGGGTCATCTTGGGTCCCCCAACTGCATCGGACATGTGCGAATCCTTGATTCTTTTGCGCCAGGAGGGAGTACCTTTCACACCACAGGGAACGGAATTTCCCCTTGAGATTCTGGGCTATGTTTGTCGGCCCGATTTCCCGTTTCACAAACAAACCCAACGAACCAGAGCTGTTCCGACAAGTCGCCAAATGCTTGGTTGGAGCTTGGTTGCCCAGTACTACTAAATGCAACAAGAATACTGCAAACGCCAATGATAGGGCTGACGGTCGCGACAAAGAACAAGATGACGACGACAACGACGACGAAGGAGAAGTTTTCTATGATGCAATAGAGCCGCCCAATGATTGCCCTTTGTGTCACAAGTTGCCCAGGAAACCAACGAGACTATATTGTGGACACACATTCTGCCGAAAGTGCATCCTAAATCACAATGGCAATTACTGCCTCACTTGTGGTAAGCTGTTGTGCCGTGAACTACTTATAGTGGGACAGCCAGCAACACCCGACATTCGCACTTCCAAAGATGGGCTGGACCGTATCATGGGGGTAAACACAACAACAAATGGCATGACGGGTCCACAATGCCTCACAGACGAACAAATCAAGGCGGAGGCAGATTTTCGAGGCATTACTTCCGCCAATGATACAGATTCTCAAAGAAGAATGATGGCGGAAGAATTCCACAAAAGAGGTTCCAATCCAATAGAGCGTGAGGTTCAATTCAAATCAGATGAACACAAGGTCAAGGCTACCGTAGCCCCCTCTGTGGATCTGGCTGCAACCGTCACCTTGTTCAGTGAGCAACATCTGCGAATGGTCCCGACCAAAGGACCTGTTTACATGGACGTGATGGTAAAAGGGATCCCGCTGCTGGCACGCATTTCGAATTGGAGCATCTACACTCTTGTTTCGCCATCCGTCGTGAATCAATTGGGATTGCGACGCATGGAAAGCCTCCAATCTCAAAAATTTGTCGACGTTTGTACAGTCAAGAAGGTACGGGGTGTCACGTTTACATGCATCGAGCCATTTTCCGTAAGGGTAGGCGGTATCGATGTCATACTCAACAATGCCGTGGAAGTTTCACTTGACAAGACTCAAATGGTTGGACTGCAGCTTGGTCAAGATTTCCTAATGTCGGCTTCGTGGGCACCCATTGACGTTTTCGTGGGTGACAAAACGAAGAGTGCCAGCAATGTTGTGACGATGCGAGTCAATGTAGAGGTAGCTTGGTGCGTTGGCAAAGAAACGAGCTCATGGCTTGATTGGTTTGGGTCTTCAAAGAAAGAAGAACCAAAGGAAATGCTGAGGTATTACTCACGAGATGGCAAGGTAGCGCACTTGCCATTGCTTCATTTTCAGCCTTTTGATGATGGCTGGTTCTTTGGTGTCTCGTTGAAAGAGACCGTAAAGTTTGAGGAGTGCAACTGGTGCCGCCGATGTTTTCCAGAAGGAATGCTGTCCTGTGAACTTTGTCTGGATGTGGACAAGGAGACAACGTACTGCGGTCATCAATGTCAACGCGAGGCATGGGGAATCCACAAAAAGCTGGTTCATCCAGAGGAAACGGTGGTGGCGGAGGATGCAAAAGTAGTGGAGAAGGAAGGGGAAGAATTGGAGCAAGAGGTAGCTGAGATGGAAGAAGTTGATTAGCTCAGCTAGCATGTGCTGGCCACAGATTCCGTCACACATATTTGAAAAGTCGGCCAATGCCTGTTTGCGCAAGCGCCTGGCCAAGAGCAGTGTTGATGATCCCAACAGGTTGTTTGTGGAGGTGGTTGGATAGACTGGGGAGGCATTCAGGTTCCAGCAGAATGCTGAACTGAAGGCACTTCCTGTGGATGTTGGTTTTGCGCGAGGGTTCTACTAGAAGGAGCCTAGCTGTCTTGCAAAGAATCTGCGTAATGGCGTTGTATGGTGGTGGTAGTGGGTTCGTCTTCTTTCAGATAGTTTGATTATGACACTTGTTGCTGGTGTTTGCATGATACTTGCTCTCTCCACTTTACAAGCTCGATGAAGCTGGAAGAAATATTTTTGTCGCCGACGAGCTCTTCATAGTTCTCAAGCTCTAGATGCAGGTCAACTGAAACGTTTTCCTCCTGCACAGTGTAATCAATACACCTGCATGATCCACAATACATGTACTTAGAGGATGTACCATCACGGGCAAACAAAAGAATGGTCTTGTTGTCTTGCAGTTGTTTCGAAGTTGCCCTGTTTGACCCCCTTGCAATGTAGTTCATGAGCGTTCTTTCGCTAGATTTTCCATTCTGGCGTTCTGGGTTAACATTGAATCTCAGATGCCGACCATGCTTGGAGAAATCGCTAAGATAGTAGTTGGACTTGGTGACATTGCCACCAAAGTTACAAAAGAGGATCCATGCATTATTCATCTCCACAACTCCAGAACGACGGTTGTAGCCAATAGTTGTCCCATCAGGAAGTGTATTGATAAACATGTGACCTACGACCCTTGAGACACAAGAGTCCTTGGTGTAGCCAAGGGTCGTTCCAGGGATTGGCAGATTGTCCAGGTTCCCAGCAAGCGAGCTTAGCTGGATTGGCTTTGGCTTCCGTCGTCCATTTGACCCCAACTTGCTGTTTTCCTTGTTGCCTTTCCTGGCGCTGCTGCAATCCACCTCCATGGTGGCTGGTCTTGGTGGCTCGGGAGTGTCTCCGAGAAGAGGCCAACACTGACGAGCCATGTATCTCCCAGGAACAAGTGTGTGTCGAAGGCTCCCCATTGGTACATGCCAAACCCAGTCCTCACCATTGCGCGCGATTTCGTCTGGAACACTTTTGTCCAAAAAAGTGTACTGGAGATTGGAACGTAGATTGGCGTGCACAGCAAAGAACTGACCATTGTATGGCTCCACACTGACACTCTTTTCCATCATGGTTTCAAGTAGGATTGGCAAAACTGCTGCGTCAAGTGCGGCATAGCTAATTTGTGTCGCACTCAAGGGACGTTGAGTCCAGTCCGAACATTGCTTAGATTTATCCAATCGTTTTGCAAGGAGTGTCGCCACCATCTTTTGAAGGCTAGACATGGTGTTCCGTGCCCCCTTGCTGTAAATGGCTGTGGCGACGGTTTGGAGGTCAATCACAGCCGTAAACTTCGCAAAGCATGGCAAGTGAGGAAAGCTCATTGCCATCTTTCCCAGATCTTGATGAATCCCAAAGCCCAACAAGGGTAAGTTGTGGTTGTGAAATAGTTTTGACAACGCGCGGTCGAGTTGCATCTCCATGGGAGTGGCGTTAACTTGAGTCCACCCGGCACCATCCACCAAATGGTGGGAAACTTGACAAAGACTCTGAAGATCAACGATATACGAACGATGCCGTGAACTCAACTGGAGAAGAGACACTGGGTTGTCTTTTCCATGCTCGAGACCAGGTTTCCATTCGCAATCCAGTCCCCAAGTAGAGTTGAGCAGAATATTATCCACCGTCTTGTTCTCTTCATTCTGGTTGTCGCCAGCATTTTCAATCGCAGCATCAATGTCTGCCTCGAGCTGCCTCAGCGTCTCTGAAGAGTTGACCAAGAGCACGGATGATGGCGTCTCATCGGGGTACGGGGTACTAGAACTGTCTCTATCCAGAACCAATTGAATGGTCAGCAGCTCTAGTGAATTGATGTCGATTGCCTTTGCAATGTCATCTCTATTTGGCTGGGTGTTGTCCCCTTGCTTCTTCTTTGCCGTCTTTGGTGGAGTCGACTGTCTTGGTTGTGTAAATGTCAAAGGCCCTTCAGGATGTGCACTGTTGGCATTGGCCAAGGAACCATCTTCTCGATTCCACCATCGAACCGTGGGACGCAAACTTCTTGGTTCAAACTGGGTGGGGATGCCGTTGATGACCGAGGACGTCGAGTCTCGATATTGTTGCAGTGACTCCACCAAGTCATCTCCGTAGTTGTAATTGTCAATGGGAAAGCGAGGATCCAAATCTCCGTACAACTTTTCATCCGAATGCGATTGCCGATAATCCGAAAATACCATCCCCTGTTCTAGTTGCTGTCGCTCCACTTGGAACATGTAATCACACGCTTCCTTGGAGAGGTGACTGACGGCAATACTGCAGGGCGTTTGACCCTTGTTGTTGACAATGAGCAAACTAGCGTTTCCGCGGTCGATCAAGTACCGCACCACATCTTCTCGACATTGCGTCAACGCATAAAAAATGGGAGTCTTGCCATAGTTGCCCGGTCCTTTGGAAATGAGATTGACAATGTCAACGTTGTACTGTTGTTGGGCCGTTTCAACGAGCAATTGCACGGCTTCGAGGTCGCCTCTCCAGGCACACATGTGCAATGCATTCTTACTAAACCCCTCTTCCGGTTGAATATCGAATAGGTGGGGAAAGTCTCCCGTTCGAACGGCCTCGTCCACGAGTGTTTGGACATCGTGAAAGCGTCCCTTTTTGCGTGCCGTGGTGCGCAAGAGTTTGGCCCGGTCCACCCTGTCGTGCAGTTTGCGGTACTCTTGGAGCCGATCTTTGGGCTTGGGTTGTCGACTGACTCGTTCCTGCTTTCGCTCTTGTCGTCTCTCTTGAGGAGTCTTTTCAATGGGTACCTGCAGTAGTGGTGGTGAAGACGATGACAGAAACGATCCTACACGAACACCCCCCGTTTTGGCGGCCACTTGCAAGAGTTGCTGCAGTGGTAGCAGGAGACTCTTGCCGGGTATCCCTGACCCAATGCTGGCCATGACAACCTGATTGGATGGCTGTTCATCCCGTGCCTGAATCATGGAGGAATCAACAAAGAGTGGCAAATGCTTGGTAGTGGTGTGGCCAATGGGGGGCATGCACCCCGAAGTGAATCCTGTCAGTGATTCTGCCACCTCTCGTGGTGCCATGGACAGAAACTCTACTTGGTGTGAGTATCGCAAGTGCTTGGCAACCAGGTTTCCCAATCTTGGCACATCCACCGTTTCTTGAATTGGCAAGGCTGCTACCACATAGTAGTAGTAGGGTTGCGTGTCATTGGTGTCATCCAACTGTGGAAGGGGCGTCGTAGCAGTGGTGGTGCCACTGGCTGATGTTACTTGCACTTGCCAGACCAACGTCTTGATATTTACAATGTGGATATTATCTTCTGCAGACTTTCCTTCTGTTGCTGTATGTTGCTCATCTTGCTGTTCCTCTGTCTGATCTCCCACAAGAGACATTTCTTCCAACGGAACACCGGCATCCATGAGCCGTTGCTGGAGCAGAGGGATGGTGCTGGGATCTCTGATACCGGTAGGTCCAATTGTAACGGTTGCCTCAGTCACAGTCTCGGCCTCAGTCGCAACCTCCATAGCTGCTTTTTCTGAAGCAAGATGGAAAGGACTGGCGCGAGAGAACATCGGTGACAGAGGAACGGTCGTTGTGAAGGCGGTGGTGGTAGCAATCGGCAGCACAATTATTTGTAACAGAAAATTACCCAAGAGTCTGGACATCCTTCTACTACCGGTATAGCCACTCAGCTATCTAGTTTATCACTGCAGCTGCTGCATGCACCCCAAGTACCAGAGGAGGTCGTGACTTTGATGTCAACATGTCAAAGTACACTGTGTAGTTGCTTTGCTCGGCCATGGTCAACTGTCTTGACTTTGGTTTTGTTTACCTCGGCTGAGTCACCGCACCGCCTTGTTTCCTTGAGTCAATAATGACGTGTGTCATGTGAGTCAATACCTGGTAAGTCAAGATTCGCTAAGGTTCAGGATCAAACCGGTGGATCTTTCTCAAAACCGGAACAACAAACAGAGAAACAGAACATCAGAACCCCCGCACATCACAATGCAAAAGAAATCCACAATAGTAACCCATCCACAGAACGGATCTATCTTCCTATAGTCTTGGGGCGTTGTGCCAATTGTGTGGGTGATACCTCACCTGTTGATAGCTAGCTAGCTAGAGATGGGGTACTCTGCTGCCTATTATGATGGTCTATGGCATGCCAATCTAGACAAACTCAAGGCCTTTGAGAAGAAGCATGGACACTGCATAGTCCCTCACAGCACTTCTGGACTTGGGAAGTGGGTGCGCCAACAGCGGTTTAATGCAAAGAATGGCACCCTGTCCAAGAAAAGAAAGGATACGCTCAATGAGCTTGGTTTTTGTTGGAGTACACGTGATGAAGATTGGCAATCCAAATTTGCTCTCTTGCAGCAATATAAGCAGCAAAATGGTCACTGCCAAGTTCCACTGAGTGACAGAAAGCTGGGATGTTGGGTCAATGACCAGAGGATAGCACGTAAAAAAGGAAACATGCGTGAGGAACGGTTCCAGCAACTAGAAGAAATTGAATTTGTCTGGGATGCCAAGAAGCTGGCAGCGAGAGCAAAGCCTTCTGCTGCAGAAATTAGCTCGGATGAAGAAGCGGAAGGGGAGGAGCCGGATGCAGCAGGTCCAATGCCTCCCAGATTGCTGGGAGCATCTCAGGCTGATCGATCCAACAAGCGAGCTGTGAAGAAACGGCATGCAGCTGAAGAGGAGGAAGATCGGTCCCTGCCCGACGACGCAGAGGAAGAGGACTCTGATGAAGAACCCTCCAGTTACGGCATTGCCACACGAGCCAAGAAGCGCGCTGCCAATGGAACGTGTGTCAAGCCGTCCAAGGTTGTTGCTGCAGAAACCCAGCCGGAAAGAGAAGAGCATAAAGAAGATGAGGAGGTAGCAACTGATAATGTTGCTCCACCTTTTGAGAATCACATAGCCCCAGAACTCTTTGTTTCTGAGCCAAATCTCGTGAAGCCAAAGGGTCCTTCATACATACAACTGCAAGAGGAAAAGCTTCATCATTACAATGAACGCCAAAGTAGCAGGAAAAAGCGGCGCCGTCGAAATGAGAGGAACGATTCAGGTCACGAAGGAGAAGATAGGGAAGAGGAGGCTTCACAGATTCAACTGCTTCGAGAACTGGTTGCTGCGCAGAGGGAATTGATTGAGGAGAAGAGCAACTCAGCGGCATTGCAGAAGAAGGTGACTCAGCTGCAAGAAAGGGAGAATCGTCGTCTCCAGAAGAAGCTTGGGCGCCAAAAGATGGCTGAGTCGGATGATGATGAAGAAGAAGAAGCATCTGACTCCAAAGAAGACTCGGATGGCGATGATGAATCAACCAGCCGGCCTAATGCCAAGAAGCACCCCAAAAGCCTCAAGAAGTTGATCTTTGCACTTGAACAAAGCCGTAAAAACAAGCGAAGCACGATCAAGCTTGAGGAGGACACATTCCATGATTAGCAGGATTCTGTGCTAAGCAGGAATTCCATCCATTGGAATGCAGCCCTCTAGCTAGAGCAGGCGGACGTGAAAGCTCTTGGAGGAGGACCCTGATCGTCATTGGTTAGTTAGGAAGCTTTGATCCATCTGATTCGGTTTGTCTGAGAGAAGGGGATCATGCGAATACATATTATTATTTATTAACCGTGGAAACCTCAAAGAAATATCATTGCTATAGCAAGCTACCGTAGCACGCAGAGACGTTGGTCCACTGCCACGAGACGAGAAACTGCAATTCCATGCAATTAAACTATGGCCATATGCAATGCTGCCCAGGCAGGTGAAGGATATGTACCGTGCGGTGCCCACCTTTTCAAGCTGGCATGTGGCTTCAGTCGTCGAGTCAATCACTCCCTCTTCCCGATTTTCTAACCGATGGCCCATATCTTCGTCACCTCCGCTGTCCTTTAGGCAGGCATGATCCTGTGCAACACTTACTTGTTGCTGACAAGCTTTTTTATGTTGTCAAGGACAGGGTCAGCCCCGCACACCTGTAAAGGTTGGAATGAATGAATGAACGAATTAATTGTGAGCATGCGGAAACCATACCGGTACTGTACATGTAGGATGTTTGGTTGGGAGCGACATGTAGGTTGTATGGTTGGGAGCGAATACTCTACTCGGCAGTAGTCTAATAAACCGCAAATTACTAGGCTACGTCAAGTCAAGTCGATCTGTTCGATCGTCGTCGTCGATCCACTGGATTGGGAAAAGCTCCACGCAAAGCTGCCCACGATACGTCTTTCTACCGCAGAAGGCTCCTGGGTCCATGCAACGATCAAACGGATTTCTCCTACCGCTGACTGATGACATCTTGACTGTCTTTTTCGGGACAAAAGCAAAACAACCATGGCGGCAGCCCAACACCTGACGGTCGTCTTTTAAAAAGTTTGCTGGCCAGAGACTTGCTTGCCTTTTTACCTCCAGCACTATGGCTACCACTAGGGAGCTACATTGCAACCTAGCTAGTGTCGTCTTTTCAATCGAGGTCAAGACTAGCTAGCTAGCAAGCAATACCGCAATACTCGAGTACATCCCTTCATGCTTGTGGGGAATACTAAATAAATACGTTAAGGAGCGGGGGGGGCGAGGTACTTAATAGACCGGTGGTTGATCAGAAGATGGCGACAACGCCGACGTCCGAGCTTCCCCGTGTAAAAGCTGAAATTGTGAGCATCAATGCTTGGTTCCACCTCGGCACTCCTCAAATAAATAATGCTCCTCAGTTAGATCTAATTGTGGTCTTGTTCTTTGTTCATTCGCTCACAAAGAGGAAAGGAGCACGTTCCCATTTGCTGAAGGGGAAGGCTCCCTATTTCGAATGATCCCGCCAAGTGAATCTCACTCTGGAAATGACCGGAAGCCAGAATCCAGAACACGCTCCATAATACCGGTGCTGCACTGGCATGTTCGTGCGTTTATCGTACTGTATCGATCAGCAAACTGAGGTTAATTTATTTATTCATTTTGTCCAAGAGTCATTCTTTGTATGAATGCGAATTGGACGATGACTGTGTACTGTTGAAGTGACTGTACATCGTAGTAATAATTAGGTTGGTCGATAAGTGTTCGTTTGTTCAGCATCCGACTTATTTACGCTGGGATAATGACGCTGAGGTTTTTAAAATTTCACCAGTGGTCCATCCTGCATTTCACCGAGACACCAAGACAATTGACTCTCGAAAGAAAAAGCAAAGGAGACAAAACCAGCACCATCGAGCAAGCAACCAAGCAACAACAACCAACAAGCAAGCAACAACTAACAACAAGCAAGCAACCAGACAAACCAACAAACAACCAAACCAACAAATACTCCTTGAATGCCATTCAGTTGTTCTACTAGCCAGAATAGGGGCATAGGGAACAGGGACGGGGTGTTTGTTCGACTTGTTGACTAAGTCTTCTGCCATGATGAAGCATCTGTTTCTGCTACTAGCACTGTTAGTACTGCTGCTGCTGTCGCCAGTATCGAGTGCTGATGATCAGCCTCCACGAACGATGGACTTGGTATGGTTTGAAATGACGTATGGCTTTGACTCACCGGCGTGGAATCCAAGCGTGGAAGAAGTGGATGCCGTGGTGTGTTTCACCAACGATTGGATGCGAGATCGAGTGGTGGCGTATTTGGGACAAGATGAGATTACGGGCCGCAATGTCTTTCGACGACAAGCAGTCGAGTTGCGAGTTGTATCGCACTACATGGACTGGGATTTGGCTGGCGACGATCAGTTGGTGGTGACGTTGTTTGCGTACATTCAAGACAAGAGCAATGGAGAAGTGGTGGACCCATCTACGTCGTTTCGAGCGTTTGAATTGACGAGTGAAGATGCGACGGCCTATGTGACCAATTACGTCTGGAATATCGTTGACACCAATAATCTCTTCTACTACACCAATCGCATTGAAGTCAGGGCGCGACTCAACGAACCCATTCCATCAAATGACGAAATCAAACTGCAAAAGTCTATTTGTGAAAAAGACGAAACCAGGTCTCCCACGGCATCACCTATTCAAGCTGCACAAGCTACTCCTGCTCCGACGTCACTACCTGCTCAAGACACTACTCCTGAATCACCAGCAGGTCCACCTGACAATGAGAACAACAACCCATCTCCAAGTGGCGTTCCAGGTGGTGACATCAACTTTCCTCCGTTGCCCGATACAAATCCAACTTCTTCTACTTCTAGCACTCCGGAACCAGCAACACCTCCTACTAGTGCTCCGACTGCACAAGAAACGACTGCTGAGACTCCACAACAGCCAACAACAGGAGCGCCCACTACGGACACACCAACAGAGTCTCCTACGGACAGACCCACAACATTAGAACCAACAGCGGCACCCATTGCAGTTGTCCCCGAGTCAACTCCAGAACCAACGACTGGTACTAGTAGTACACAACCACCATCCGTGGCACCACCGACTGCTACAGATACAACAGAGACAACTGCTACAGATGATGATACAAATACAAATAATAATGCAGACTCAAACTCAAATAATGAAGAGTCGCCTTCTGAAACTGCGGCACCCGCCACCACTCCGACAACCAACGACAACCCTTCTTTTGTAATAGGAGGACCGAACAATAATAATCAGGATGAATCGACCGCATCACAAGGAGGACCACCCGCCACAGATGGCACCACCATTTCCACAGTGGCCTGGCGCATGGTATTTCATTGGCCCCAAACAACAACAATGACGGATATTATACGGGAACCCACAAGGACCGAAATGGTGCATGTGCTGTGTCAATTCCAACGATTTCTCGAGAAACGATTGGAACAGGCTACACAGTATGCCCCGATTGCTGTGGAGCTCACCGAAGCTACTTGGAAACTCTCCAATGCCACCAGTATGGTCGTCAATTTCGTGTCCAATTCGTACTACGTGTTGTCGGAAGAAGGAGGCTTGTACGATCACGTTCCGCCCAATGTCGTTGTGGCGTCCATGCAACAAGACGAACAAATACAAGAACAACAATACTTGATGGGATATATTCGCAATGAAACAACGACGGGCAACAATAACAATGTCATTGACAATATTGTGCACGAAGCCACGCACTTGGAAATTCAACCGTGGGCACTCTGCTCCAAACTGCCACCGGGACGATTGCGCGTGGCGGTGTGTAGTGCCAAGACTCTCGTTGATCCATCCGCCGATATTTTGGGCATTCGTCTTGACTTGGAAACCATTCCCTCCGAGTTTGAAGGATACGGACAAGAATTGTTGGGGCCGCGACCGTGCGAAGCCCGTACCAGTCCTCCTCGCAATTCGACTAACGGTAGTGGTGGCGGTAGTGACAGTGACAGTGATGATGAACGAGAAATGTACAACACCCGAGCCCCGTTGGCGTACCAAGACGTTCAAAAACGCGCCTATCGACTCGAAGTCAGTTTTACCGTTTCCAATTTGGACGGCATTACCAGTCCCACCGACGTCAATCGAACCGGACTGGATGTCGCCTTTCCGTGGTTTGTCGCCGGGCTCATGGAGGAATTTTACGGTGGTTCCGTGGGTCGTCGGTATTTGCGGGTGGGGCGCAATCTTTATGACGGACCGGTGCGGTTGTCGTACGTCCAAAATTCGGCCTGGGTCGACAGCATTGAATCAATGGACTGTATTGGTGACAATGTCCATCCCGATTTAATTTGTCATCAAGTTTTGGGCGTCTACTCCTTGGTCGCCGATCCCATCCGGATTACACGACGAGCACTACAAGCCTCGCAACAACAGACCGTGACAGCCGGCAACACGCCATGGCAAGTCTTGGTACTCCAAGAAACCTACAAACGAATCCACGACGGAACGTTTTACGGGGTTCTCAAAACCAAGGCGCCAGAGACACCGCTTCTGATTGGGACCATTCCACCCCCGGAATCCGGAGGTGGGATGGGCGCACTGTATGCACTCATGGCCGTTTGCATTGCCTTGGCGCTATGCATTTGCTGTCTTGTTCGTATGCTAATGCTCTCCAAGCAACGACGAGAGGAAGAATGGAAACGACGACTCTCGCGTCAAAAGTCCAAACTGAATTTGAATGATGACGATGATCTTTCTACTACTAGCAAACAACGTCCCAATAAAAGAAAGTCCAAGAAACACGACGACGACGACCAAAAAGCAAGCAACAAAACGATCGATACGACTGGATCCACCAACCCATCGACTCCGACGGAATTTATGGATGAAGATGCCGTTTTGGCCTATTACGAAGACTTGGCCCAAGACGAGGACATTGACAGCAACCCATCGGATGACAGGAAACAAGAAAAGGACAAGAAAGGAAAAGATGCAGCATCGGAAACGGAAACCGACACGGAGAACAACTACAAGAACGTGTCCATGGATGAGGATTGGGGAGACTCCAACGATAAGTCTGACAATGATGATGAGTCTAGTATCACAGAGCATCCTGACTATGAACAAATGAAGGTCTCAGATCTACAAAAGTTGTGCCAGGCCCAAGGAATTAGCACGGCAGGCATGTTTGAAAAGAGGGAAATGGTCAATGCCTTACAGGCCTTGAACAGCAAATCAGGCTCCTCAACTGCACTAAACGTTGGGAGTGGTGGCGTGGAGGGAGAACCTAGCAATGCCAATGCAGAGATTCCTGACTATGAGCAAATGAAGGTCTCAGAGTTACGGAAGTTGTGTCAGGCCCAAGGAATCAGCACTGCTGGAATGTTTGAAAAGAGGGAAATGGTGGATGCATTACAAGCCTTGAACAGCAAATCAAACTCAACTACACCAAACAGTGGGAGAGGTGGCATGGGGGGAGAATCTAGCAATGGCGATGCAGAGATTCCCGACTTCGACCAACTGAAGGTCTCAGAGCTACGGAAGTTGTGTCAGGCCCAAGGAATTAGCACTGCTGGAATGTTTGAAAAGAGGGAAATGGTGGATGCCTTACAGGCAAAGCATGGCACGTGAGTCAATAGCCGGACGTCTTGACTGCGCACAGGCAACGCGAGCTGCTTCAAAGATGCAACACGGGGGAATCTGACAACGACATTCATGACAGAGAGAGGAGGCATTAAAAGCCCTCAGCGGCGACAGAATCAGAGATAGGGAACAAAGTTCCGTGAATGACGCTAGCCGGGAGGGCCGACGAACGAGGACAACAGCGGCAGTTCTGTGACATGGTTCTTGCTGTGTCTCCCGCATGTAAAAAATGCACTTCCAGTGAGGCACCATGGCTCAGGGGTGGAGCAGAGCCCCGGTGTGGGAGCGCGACAAAGCGTGGATACTCCGTGCAACAATTCTCAAAGGATGGCTACCGTAGGATCTAGCATAGCTTCTAGCATTCGTTGTGGACTCTCTAAGCTACAAATGAGGACGGAGCGAAGCAACAGTAGCCACGTTATATAAGCAACAGTAGCCACGTTGTGGCTGCACCATCGTATCAGCAAATTTTGTTATTCCAATTTATGCCATACTTGGTTCCCATCGTCGCTGCGGTGACTGCTTCAGAAGATCCACGTTCCGTGGTTGCTTCACACAATCCAACGCACTCTCATCTGCAAGGATCACACTTTCAAGATCCATCTCTACATCAAGGAGCTTGCGGAAGATATAGAGACGGCAGGAGGAAATCCACCAAACGTCCCGAGATCATCTGAGTGGCTCACTTCTGGTGGAAAGGTGGTACTCTATACTTCTAGTTACATGTACATATCACAAATCTCCCACCGCGCAAGAGTCGAGTCGTCGCCAAAATGGACCCTTGATTCTTCCCCACCACTTTCTACCTGGCTAGTATCTAGCTAGAGATGCCGCCCTCTGCTACCGTTTGCGATGATCAATGGTACGCCAACCTGGCGAAACTGGAGGCTTTCAAGGACACAAATGGGCACTGCAAAGTTCCTTTTCGTGCAGAACGGTGAAAAGGCAGTGGAGGGGTCGAAAGGTACTATGTCAGGAGAGGAGAGACTGGATGCCCTCAATGAGCTTAGTTTTATTTGGAATGTTGCGGAAGAAGCTTGGCAATCCGATATTGATTGAGAAGCCACATCCACACTCGGCGCTAAAGAGAGCCAGCAGTGGAACAGGTACAGTTGCAACCACACAAAGACTCAGTACAATCAAACTTGGCTTCAATGTTACCAAGCAACAAGCAGAGTTCAGAGGGAACAAGACCACTCAACCTTGGATTGCCTGAGATTTCAAATTGCATATGACCTGTGCTGAGGAGCTCCAATTCTTCTGGGACAGCACCACTGAAATCATTGTTGCTCAGAGAGAAGTACTGAAGATAGGGCAAGCGTCCAAGTTCTGAAGGGATGAGCCCTTCCAGCCAAAATGTCCGTATGCCAAATTGACCAATATTGCCAATCTCTGAGGGACAAGTCCCTGTTAGCTCGTTCTTGTCCATTGTGAGCTCCCAAAGGTTTTGAAGCAACCCAAGTTCACTTGGAATGGTTCCTATTCACGAAATCAAAAAGGCAAGGGAGCGTGAGACACTCTTGTTGAGAGAGGGCAGTAGACAGGGAGAAGCAGTGCCAAGCTCTGTGTAGATCCCAAAGTTGATCAAACTTACCAACCAACTGATTCTCACCAATCACCATGTAGCCCAGGGTGGTTGAAAGGAGACCAAGCTCTGTTGGGAGTGTCCCAGTCAGCTGATTCCTAGCCATTCCAATGAATTGAATGGAACTCAACAAGCCCAGCTGACTTGGTATTGTCCCTGGCAGGTGCAGGATGAAAGTGATGTATGAGAGGCATGCTGGCATCATGAATCCATAGTGATGGCTGGGACCAGCATATGTCTTCTGCACTTACCTGACAACCCCCCTCTGCATAAAGATTCAAATCAGTCAAGGCAGTCAAGAGACGCATCTCAAAAGGGATGTGACCAGTTAGGAAACCTGCATTGTAGAACTGCAAATTTACCAGTTCTAAAAAAGCAAACCAATCTGTGTAGGAAGAGAACCAGAAAGATTGTTTTCATCATCCACCCAGAAATGCTCTAGCTTCAACAATCTCCCAATCTCACTGGGGACGGTGCCACTCAATCCAGTGTAGCTAGCCAAGAAGACCCTCAAACTGGAACAGAGTCCAATCTCAGTTGGAATTTGGCTTTCACGGAGGTTGACCCCACCAAAATTCAGAGCTTCCAAATTGGATAGTTGACCAATTGCAGGTGATATGGATGCCTTGAAATCGTCAGTTAAGGAGAGGGACTTGAGGGACGTCAGCAACCAGAGCTCCTCTGGGACTTTTCCTTTGAGTCCATTTTGATTTAGCCAAAGCTGCTGAAACTTGCCCTCATCATTGTCATCATTCTGACTGGAAGACATGTTTGCCAGTGAAACAGCACAAGTTCCACCACTAATATCAGGGGCCTCGTAAGCAAATCCACCACCAAAAGGCTCTATGATGATGCCACTGACTTCTCAGCTGTTAAATACCAGAAGCACTCATCTTCATTGGAAAGCCACTTCGAATTGTTGAGCCATCCTTGTCCATTGGCGGCATAGTAGAATGTCACTAGAACAAATCTTTGAAGCTGTTTCCACTGGGCCACATCATTTTCCACCTTTGTAGAAAAATCGTCCAGCAACCAGTTGAATGCGATGGCTTGTGGGGATGCAGGGTCCTCCTTGATGGCCTTGATTGTGCTCAATGGTAGCATGTTCTGCATAAAAGATTCCTCCCAAGAGAGGGATGGTGACAGGGTGGCAGTAGCAGAATCATTTTGCTTGGGAGCTGCAGCATCTGTTGATGGGGAGACAATCACCTCTGGCTCCTTGCTCTTTTGGGTACTTGCCACAGTTCCCACAATGACTGCTGCCACAATTAACAACACCACAAAGAAGAGAATAAGCATCAGCCTCTTTTTCTTCCTCTTTTGTTCTCGCTGCTGCGCATGTTGTAGATCAACTGGATCTGCATTGGGCCTAGATTGTTCCTCCTCTGGATCTTCTATAACAAGATTTGCCACTGCCAAGTGGGAGTGGCAGTGGCACCAACAAGGGAATATTGTAGGGTAGTTGCACGTTGTAAGGCTTCTCCTGGCAAACCCAAGTAGGCCCCTGGTCTCAACTGCTGATGCTGTTGCCTCTGTAGAGGGATAGGTTCTGGCTGTACTGCAAGTTCTGTGTTTTGCTGGTTTGGATGATCATCATTACAAGAATTGGCAGCAGCCCCAAATTTTCCATTTTGGCAGCCTCATTGATTTCAGTTGCCATTTGCAAAAGGTCCATATTAGCGTCTGTGTGATCTTGCCTCAACAATACTTGTGCTGATGCCAATCCTTTGGCAGGCACACCCTCAGCAACTGCCTTTCCCTTTGGAGAAAACGATAGCTGGATGGTCGTGTTGGGTGTCGTGTTGGGTGTATTTTGATTATGGAGATTTTCTTCTTTTTTGGCATTATTGAGAAATTCTGCAGTAGCCAAACTGGCCTGATTCGCCACAATTTTCATGATTTCGTCTTCTTCTTCTTCTCCTTTCAGTTCTTGTTCGTCTGCCCCTTGATTGACACTTCTACCTTCCTTACTACAAACTGCGGATGAAGGGTTCTGTTAGGCTGGCAGCTTCTTGGCAGCTTCTTCTTCTTCTTTTCCCCGAGAGTTTGCAATGGTGCTGGTTTTCTGATGGTCTCGTTCTTGACATTGTTGTAAGGCTTCTGCCTCAGCCCTTTTAATAAGGGCATCTCTTACCGCGGGGTCGAGTGGATCAGCCATCTCTTCTGCTCGAGTTCTTGGCATCTCTGCTGCCCCCAGTGTATCCAGAATCCTCCTTCTCATTCCAACCATGGTTTTCTTCTTCTGCCATCCCTGCTGATGCTGTACAATGTGACAGAGAAATTACTGCAGGTTTGAGTGGACTAGTATGGTGAGGAGGGGTTTCAGGGGAGGAGGGGGAGATCGATGATACTCGTGCAACCACCTACAAACTTCGCACCGTTCCTGCAGATGCAAACAGTGCCAAATATACCTTCAAGGTAGCCATCATCAATGGTTCCAACACTCCGCGTCAGACCATCAAGTGGGCTACGAATATGGAGAAGGTCTTCGTTGGACTCAACCTTGCCAATGCCGACGACAAACATCGCCTTCTCAAGGAGATGACTTCCAGCTCTGCGAAGAGTGCCTACGAAGCTGGGTGTGCAGGCCATCGTGCAGTGCGTCATCACGCCCTACGACAAATTGCTGTGAACACAATTGCTCCACGCGATGTGACTTCTGGAGAAACCGAAGTCCAATTCCAAGCTCGTGTCCAAGCCGCATGGGACGGTGCAGCGGAACCCGCTCTAAGCGATGATGACATCACCTTTGGAATCAACGCGGTTATCGAAGCAGCCTGTCCTTACAAGGCTCTCGAAAAACAGAAACGCTTCATGCGTCGCAAGATGCATAAGCCTAGCGAGATGACAACTCGCGCCTACATCAACAACCTCACTCGGATGAACACCGATGAGCTTCCACGTTTGCCACCTTTTGGTGCCAATCAACAGTTGAACCAGGACGAATTCATCGACATCATCTGTCATGGCATTCCTCGTTCCTGGATGCGCAAGATGGACAAACACGACTTCGATCCTTTCACTGCCGAGATGACAGCGCTCATTGGATTCTGTGAGCGCATGGAATCCGCCGAAGACTTTGACAAAGGCAGTGATGCCAAGCAAGTTCCTTCGAAGAAGAACAACAGCAAGAAGTACAAGTCTACTCGCAACAACGACCATTCTTCCAAGAGCGAAGAAAAGTGGTGTGATTACCACGACTCCAGCACTCACAATACTGCTGATTGCATGACTCTGAAGAAACTCAAAGCCTCTGACAACGATAGCAAGCCAGCGTACAACAAGAACAAGACTTGGAAACGCAAGTCTGACGACGCCAAGTCCTACACCAAAAAGGAACTTTCGGTCCTTATGAAGAAAGTCTCCAACACTGCGGTCAAGGCGGATCGCAAGAAGAAAAGCGAATGCAACCATGTTGCCAAACGCAAGTCGGACGACTCTGACAACGAGGATGACTCCTCTGTCGGGTCCCTCAACATGATGGACAAGAAAATGGCTGCAGTCGACAAGGCTCTTGCCGACTTCGACTTCAATCATTCAGATGGAGAGATCTACATCTGAGGATTAGGCCAGGATGATGATTCAACGGAACCATGTTCCGATTTCTCATACCTAAGTGATGAAGATATCTCACTAACTAGTAAACAAGAATTGTTTGCAACTGATGAAGTCTGCGGCAAATTAGATAATTGCCTAGAAACTGCTCAACTAGATTCTGACGATCTATCCAGCATTGTTAACCTCGTCCGTGGCCAACCACCTCATCAACGTCGCAAGACAAGAGACCTCAAAACTATCGTCTATGTTAGATTTAACAGACGAGAAAAAGGGAAACAAAAACCCGTTACACTCCGTTGCTTACTGGATACAGAAGCATCTGGAACCTTGATTACCCAAATTCATGCTGAGACATTAAGCATGAAGGATCATGGGGGCGTCCAAATACAATGGACTACCCCTGTAAA